CTCACGGCCACCACAGCCTCGACCTGCTGGGCTCAGGTGATCCTTTCACCTTGGCCTTCCAAGGAGCTGGAACCACAGGCATGCGACACCATACCTGGATGACTTTTTGTAGAGACGAGGTCTCATCATGTTACTCAGGCTGATCTTGAACCCCTGAGCTCAGACTATCCTCTCACCTCGGCCTCCCAAAGTGCTGGGATTACAGGTGTCAGTCACTGTGCACGATCTCTGTATCTCTATGATCTCTTTTTTAATTTTTATTTATTTATTTATTTATTTTTAAGTTGGAGTCTCACTCCATTGCCCAGACTGGAGTGCAGTGGGCCACTCACGGCCTCCGCAGCCTCGACCTGCTGGGCTCTGGCGATCCTTCCGCCTCAGCCTTCTAAGTAGCTGGAACTACAGGTACACGCTAACACACCCGGTTAGTTTTTATTTGTTTGATTGTTTGTTTTTTGATTTATTGTAGAGACGAGGTCTCACCAAGTTGCCCGGGCGGGTCTTGAACCTGCGGGCTCAGGCAATCCACTCACCTCGGCCTCCCCAAGTGCTGGAATTACAGGCTGAGCCACCGAGCCCGGCCAAATTAATTCTTTAGTGCTATTTCAGGTTAAAAAAAAATAGTGCCAGCCAGATACTGTTTAAAAATTAACAATGTAATGTCAAACATCACTGAGGAAACACTCATTTAGGACAAGGATTTAAGATTGGTTCAACTGTCACAGGTTACAAAAACACTCCTCCAGCCCTAAATTATGACCAAACATTTAGAAACCAATAAAAATGCATAGTTGTGGGGGAGAGGAGGGAAAGAAAGCAGTTTCTCCAGTAGTGGCTGAAATTCTTGAGAACAATGCTTTCTCTTTGGAATTCCTGCCCTAAGAGGCAGGTGCACCTCTGGGAGGCTGTTCCTTCTTAATTACACAGGAAGCTCCAGTCCCAGAGGTTTCTGCCCTCCCCTCCTCCTTCCTTTCCCACAACAGTGAACAGTTGGGGAATTAATCAAACTTCAAAGGTTGGTGATAACAGGTGGTGACAGATCAATGTTCCACAGCCCAGATGAATAGCAGAACAGTGGCTGGGACTGACTTCTTGTCCAATCTACACTTGCATCAAAGATGGCTGCAGATTTGGGGGAAGCGATATTCACTTCTCAGGAAAGGAGAAAAACAAATGACTCTCCAGTGTTCAGACACACCGGACACCAGAGTGGAATGCTGTCTGTGCTTGACTACGTGGGCTTTCATAGCAAAGGGGAAATCATGAAAAGAAAGGAAACACCTTCAGAAAGTGAGGAGGAAACTTGCCAGTTAGCAGACTCACTGACCGACTGCACACAGAAAGCCTCCATGTAGGGAGCCTGCAGTCTAGTCTCCTTACCTTAAGGTAAAGCAGGCCCAGAGAGCAGACTCATCCCAAGTCACAGCAAAATCAGACCAGCATGAGGCTTGGAACTCACTTCTGATTCCCAGAGTGAGGCTCTTCACACCGGTCTGATAAGCATGGTATGCGGCACTCAAGGGCCAAAGCAGCAGCTCACCCAGGTTAGGGATGGGGTGGGACCACTCAAGCAGGCACTGAGAGCTTCAGGGAAGCTCTCAGTGGCATTGACCCACCTCAGATACTGCCGACTTCAACCTCAGGGCTCATGGGAGCATCCTAAGTGGATGAATCAGCACACAGGTCTCTGGTCTGTACTACAGCTTTGAAGACTTGCCTCAGGTCAGAAATTTGAAAGCAACCAGCATCATCAGGGTGTGGATGAAGCCTGGGAGGCTCCTCTGGGTTATTCAGAAAATTCCCCCAAGGGAAATTGAGAAGGAGAACAGCAATTTGGCCCTAGCAGAAACTCTCCTGGGAGCTCAGTGGCCACCTCAGGACCTGCCCATTTGCCCCAGAGATGCCCACTGAGGTTACCCTCAATGTCTATCAAACTATGGCCTCAGCCAGGCACGGTGGCTCACGCCTATAATCCCAGCTCTTTGGGAGGCCGAGGTGAGAGGATTGCCTGAGCTCATGGGTTTGAGACCAGCCTGGGCAACTTGTCAAGACCTCATCTCTACAATAAACCAAAAAATTAGCTGGGTATGGTGGCGCATGACTGTAGTTCCAGCTACTTGGAAGGCTGAGGTGGAAAGATCACCTGAACCCATAGGTCAAGGCTGCGGTGGCCGTGAGCGTGCCACTACACTCCAGCCTGGGTAACAGAGTGTGACTCCAACTAAAAAAAATAAAAAACTATGGCCTCATACCTAAGGGTGTCTCAGCATGGACCACACTAGACTCCAGTCAACCTGATCTGAAGACTGTGGATGGGACATACTGGTCCCCTCACTGAAGAATGTGAGGGACACCTTCCCCCTACCCCACCTCTCTCAGCAAGGCGATAAGCCTTTGCTGTGAAAGGAGCCAGATTTCAGCGCAGGCTTAGAGGTGTATATGGGGTGGAGACATCACAGCTTTTCAGGGTAAACTTTCTCATTCCGTCGGAGCCTGACCCCTGCAAGGAGGGGCACCTTTGAACAATCATGCATGGTGAGGGAGGGGGCAAGCCAAGCAGAGAGGGCTTGAGCAGTGGGCAGAGGGAGCTTTGAGCAGTGGGCAGAGGGAGCCCCCTAGGGGTCCACACCCCGGTGTGTCCCGGCCGATTTGGGCACAGGGCTCACACAGTCACCCTGCCTGCCCCAGCGCTCGCTGGCCGGGGATGCCAGGCTGTCCCGCAGAGCTCAGACTGTGCGGCTTGGGACCTGGACAGGGACAGAAATTTACAGCTTCCCCCCAGATAATCTCACTCCCCAGCACTCCAAGACCTCAGAGAGCAGAAGGCACGATTCTTGATGTCACCTGCAACGCCACCTCCTGTCTTTCCTGCCTCCTTACCCCTTCCTCAGCTGCAAGAACTTTCCTTCCTCCCAGGGCGACTTTGGACCGGACCTCGAGGCTCGGAGACCCGCCCCAGCCCGCCCGACGGAGACAGGCCTGGAGCACGGGCGCGGCCGAGTCGTGCTGGGGCAGCTCCGAGTTGCCTCCCGGGCAGCCGCGGGCCGCTACAAGCGCAGATCCGGCGGGGAGAGGAGAGGGGCTGATCCTCTGGGGGCGGCAGGGAAGCGCCAGTCTTTGGGTGGGAGGGCAGCCCATCAGGACTGGGGGGGCGATACAGCCGGGAATGAATGAATGAATGCATGAGTGAATGAATGAGTGAATGAATGAACAGCGATGGTGGCGGGGTGGGGGATGGACCACGGGAGGCGTCCCGAGCAGGGTGCCCTCCCTGGCCGTCCCTAGTCCTCCAGGTGGCGGCGCAGACTCGGCCGAGACACCCTGTCTCCGGGTGACCACTTCGCAGCCCCCGGGGACGTCCGCGCCACGCAGCTCTGGAGTGGAGTCCGCGTTCCGGGGGCCGGGAAGCGCCTGCCCCGAGGGCAGAGTCCGCCGAGGCGCCGCGGCCCCGGAGCCGCCCCGTCCCGCGAGGAGAAGTCCCCAGCCCGACCCCGGGCCGCAGCTACTTAC